TAGAAACTGATGAATTGAGCTTCTCAGCCATGATGGAACATAAAACAAGAAGTCGTCCAGTCTAACAAGGTCTCAGTAATATTTCAAGTGCTGAATGGTCTATCTCCTTGAATACTGTTCCTCTGTGTAAGAGCCTGCACAGCTAAAGCCTGGAACCATGGGAGTTCTGGGTGCTGACTCCTCCACATCACCACAGGAGGCGTAGGCTAGGCTCCCACGGGAGGACCATGCGAGGCTGGGCCCAGCAGGAAGTACTGCCTAGCAGGACCTGCGTGGCAGCTCCTTGCAGCCCACTGATTGGCTGGGACTGGGACTTAAGCCAGAAGCTATGCCAGAGAGTTGTTTGAGCAACAATACAGACTGCCTGCGATTTCAGAGAGAGATCCCAGACTCTGGTTTCTAACCTGCCGGACTCTTGGTTTATTCCCAGGCCTATCTCAGGCTCTGACCTCCAGTAACCAGATGCTTCGTGCCTACTGACAACTGATTACTGGTTTGCTCTCTGGCCTGTCTTGGACTCTGACTTTCTGGTACCTGATTCAGCCTGACTTCTGACTCCTGCTCTGATTGACCACAAGCCGCTCATAACACTCTAGACTACTTGTTCAAATCTGGTCCAGATACACAGCAAACAAAAAGGTTAATTATCCAGTGGCTATTTGACCATTAGGAAAAGAGATTTACATATCTCAGTCCATTTGCTAGTGGACAAGTGTCCACATGACAAAACCACCACGACAGTCAGCAGCGTTTGTCTCCATTCAGCAGAAGTGCTAAGGACTGAATGAACAAGGAAACCTGTCAACCACTGGCGGTGGTTTCTCCCAGAGAAGGTTGAGACAGGTGTGGGAAAATCTGTGATGCCACCACCTCTTGCTAGACAAGTGTGAATTTAAAACTTTTAATTTTCAGGGCTGCTAATCCAGCACCTTTCACAACATAAATTAACGACAAAAACAAAAGAATGAGTTTTTTATTAGATAGCTGTAATAGAATGCCTTTTTTTGGTGGACAAGAGCATACAGAATTTGAAGTGTTAGAGAAGTGAACTCTACGTATTCGACCCCCCAGACCCAGCATTCTTCTAAGCTGGATTTATAACAGGTCAAAATCAATCTATTTTAGGTAATAGTTTGAAAATGTATCAACCCAAGAAACTAAAGTCTATGGCACCCTCTTGTGGCCAACAGTGACAATTTACTAGAGTTTGGTACTTCCCACTTTTGTTACTGGACAGGAAACACCAATGTTGTAAACAGCTCCAATGAGTATGTTTTGCTGGGTAGATAGTCTCTAGGGAGGGAAGCATGACTCTAAAACATGACAATTAACTAGATGACTAAACAAAGACTCAGCTAGGATTTATTTATTGTTTTGGGCAATAGACTGACGATATTATGTATAGCAGTTTAAGATCAAAGGTACAGCATTGCCTCAAACACCATAACTTAAACTGCAAAACTAACACGGTTATTCTGTTCTGTTTCTGTTTGACATGTTTACCCCATACTCTTCAGTTCTTAGATCCTCAAATGAAAGGTGCTGTCAAGCATTTTGCAAACAGTTAAAACATCACATCTGTGAGCTACATAAATATGACCTCATCTTACAGATTGGAAAACAAAAGTAGCAGTGAAGTCTAGCCCCCACATGGATTCCCCTTTTGATCTGGGGCCCCTCTGCCCCAGACCCTCTTCTTTCTAGGGCCCTGGTCCTCACCACTCCCTCCTTTGGGGCAGTTTTCGACCCAGCCCGATCCTCCAGCCTCCTCCTCTTTCTCTGGGGGCAAGGCCATCTTACCTGGCCCCCCTTGTGGCACAGGAAGCACATCCAGTGCCTTCCTTTGGCCACATCAGGGCTAGCCTGGGCCCTATGAGTTCCATAGGGGCACTCCCTCTTCCTGTGCCCAGGCTCCCCGTAGGCCCAACAAGTTTGGAGCCCCCCTGTTGACCTCACAGAGGTTGTGTTTTCTGGGTGGGGCCTCCTTGCTCCATCCCAGTAGGGGCACTCACATCTGTAGTGTCCCGGTCGCCCACAGGCGAAACAGTTTTTAGGCCTGGCACCAGCCTCCAGCCCCAGGCCCCTAATGAGGTCCACGTGCCCTCCACCACAGCAGCTGAAGCAGTCTTGCTTGCTGCTCAGCAAACCAGGCCACACAGGCTCTCCACACAGGCTCCATTAGAGCAAGCCCGTCTTTGACAGGGCAGATCCCCCATTCCTTCTGGCAAATAAGATACATCCACAGCTACATGGCAAGAACTGGGAGGGGGGAGAAGAGTGGAAAAAATTAATAAATCCTATGAAATAACTAAACCAAATAGTCCATCCTTTTTCTCCACCCTTTGTCGCTCAAGTCTCTGATCCAGGCAATAGTCAGACACAAGGGACAGAGCAAGGACTATCAGGGGTGGACTGCCTATGCCCACGTTCTCCATCACTTTGTATTGAAGCGAGACTCACCAGTGCGGCGCCTCCTGCTGGTCATCTTGGGAATTAGCTCTTTCCAGCCTTCGGAGCACCCTCTGCAGGCCAGTGTCTCACCTGCCGCTGGCATTCATGTCCCTCCCGGACTCCCGTGTCCTTTACCCTGGGGTTCTGCCCCAGCAGTACCCCCACACTCTGGGTCTCCCCTCCCTGGGGAACCCCCAACCCTCTCAACCCACCTTGCCTCAGTGGCTCCTGCCAGTCATCTAACCCCCGCTCACTGGGACAGACTGCAGTGTAATGGCCACTTATCATTGGTAAGGAGTTGGGACCAGCTGCCTCTGCTTATCCCCAGGCTGCCCCTCTGCAGCCCCAGTACGTTCGTGGGCCTTTACCAAGGCCTGCAGCCAGGGGGTTTACCAGGCTAGAGCTCCCCAGCTCCCTTTGCCCTTCCCCAGCCCTGCTCAAGGTACCTCGCTATCAGGCAGCTAGCCCTTCCCACTCCAGGGCTAGAGTGAGACTCCAGCTTCTGGCCCACAGCCCTCTTATAAGGGCCAGCCCTGATTAAGCCAGCACACCTGTGGTCAGCTACATAGCCAGCTTCCTCTAGCTGGTCTTAATCCCTTTTCCTGTAGCCCTCTCCAGGGCTGCTTTTACTATTGGCTCTCCCAGGGCTGTTTTAACCCCTTCAGGGCCAGAGCAGGGTGACCACCCCACTACATATCCCTTAGCAAAGGAAGTCAGATGTTTTACTGGATTAGCACTGATAGTACTACTTTCAGGGGGGAAAAAAATTTTATACTAGCTTGGATTCCAGCCACCTGTGCTATCTTAACAGTGACCTGGTGAAATCTTTTTAACCCAAATATTCTACAAGTCCTGTAGCCACACTAGCACCTTAAGCTAGGATCTCTTAAGTTCAGCTGGGGGGTTCCCATCTGGTTTCTATCTTATGTTCCTAAAAGGCTGCAGCCAGTCACCTGCAGGGGTTAAGAAAGCTTTTTCCATTATTCCTCTTTCCCATCTGTCCTGCTCCCAATGTACTGCAGGAGGAGGAGGGTTGATCATCTTCTGGAGCAAAGACTGGGGATGGGACATTGGATGAAGTAAGCCAGGCCTTCTAAGGTGGCACCAAGCATTCTCTCTCTCTCGGTGCTTCTCTGGCTTGTTCATTCTTCCTCACATGTTCAAGGTCTAACTGATCACCATATGGGTGAGGTCAGGAAGGAATTTCCACCAAGGTCAGACTGGCAGCAACCTTGGGTTTTTTTCCTTTCCTCTATAGCATGTGGGTATGGGTTATTTCGTAGGATTCCCTGCCACTGCAGGAGCCTTGGTACCTATTCTCTGCCTGTAGCATATAATAGTTTAGTCTCCTGTTACCTGTAATACTTCGGTCTAATTTTGGTAATTTCGTTTAGTGTGCAGGTGCTGTTAATGGCTCGTGAGATACAAGTCACACTAGATGATCTGGTGTTCCCTTCTGGTCTTAAATTCTATTACTAGTCCTGAAGATCCAGGCCCCTGGAAGCTCAGAGGCCTACACTGGGCACCTTTGGTAGGAAGAATGCATATGTGGCCAGATCCTTCTGGTTGTCATATCACTCTTTCCAGAAGAAGCATTCATCCTAGTATTCTGCCCAAGTGCTAATGTAGGCCAAAATTCCATTACTTATCAAAATTCCATTACTATAGACTCTACTGGAAAAAAATATTCCAATTTATCCTAAATAATTGTGTAATATTACTGGAAGATAGTAACAAATGGTTCCACCCCAACCCACAGAACAGCAAAGAAATCTGTGCAAGGAGAAAAGACTAATATAAGGAGACTGTCATGCTAGGCAGGGGCAAAGGAGAGAGTATAACTGCTTACAGACCTTAACAGAGAACACTCAGAAGGATAGTCACATTTAAGGTTTAAAGAGAAAGTCAGTGACCCATTTCAGTGATCAACTAAAATGACAGTAAGAACAACCCCAGTGATCCCTTACATGGAAAAATGTAGTCTTAAACCATTTAGGGGGTCAGAACTACACAAAACACTGAGAGGGTTAATATACAAGAGGAGGAAGATGAATACACTTTGATCACTACTAGGAAAATACAGAGCAATGGGTTTAAGTGAAAAACAAAGTCATGAAAACAAGAAAATGTCAGCAACAAGGACAATCAGTGGAATAGGTTTAGATGTGGTAAAATATGGAAAGAGGAATGGGCAAATCAGACTTGTTGCCTATTAGGTCTAGTGTTGACCCAAAGAGTCCTTCCTTTCCCCAGTATAACATCTCTAGGTCTTGGTTTATGTGAATGAAACCTTCTCCCCACCCCCAGAAAAGATCAGATCGCTCTCTAGACTACCACAAAGTGACAGCATTAATGTAGGGAAGAAATAAAGAAGATGGAGGCATAAAGCCAGATAGATTAGAGCAAGTCAGGCTTTGACAGAGCAGATCCCGCATTCCTTCTGGCAATCCACATCCACAGCTACATGGCAAGAACGGGGGAGGGGGGGCGGAGAGGAGGAAGAGTGGAAAAAATTAGTAAATCCTGTGAAATAACTAAACCAAACACTATTCACCATAAAAATAGATTTTAATTGTTACAGATGCCCAGCACCAGAGGTTGTTCACACAGAATAAAATATACTGAGTCATAAGTCACTCTCCTGAAGCACAAGAAGAGCATCCAAGGACTTCCATTAGAATGGATGCAACGAGTCCTTCTGACAATTTAGAGTCACTTAAGAGCTCTCCAATTTTTTAAAAATATATATTTAAACATAAAATTATTTGCTCGTTCTGCATCTAGATTCAGCATTATCTATCCAACACGAGTCATTTCCAAATTGCAAGCTTCCTCAGTTCCCAATTATCTTCCCAATTAGTTTACCAAAAGTGTTTCAAAATGTAGTAAACTTGGGAAGGGAGTAGTTTACCTAAAGCAGACTGATGATTTACAAATCTTCCAACACTTTATAAGGTAAATAGTAATACAGCCACACTATAGAGAAGAGGAGAGGTTACACAATTTAGCTATGGACACTGTTCTATTTCTGTGCCTGCTACTGATTCACTAAGGCATCCTGATTCTCAAGTCCCTTGCTCTAGCCACCAGACAATACTTCCTCATTATGAGTTCAATTTAAATTAATCTGCTGAGGTGGTCCTTTCTGACACTTCCTGTGAACTTAGCACTTGGGAGATCAGCTAGGACAGAAATAGAGGCTTAATTCTGTAATTCAATCCTGCTTGACGGAGGGACACTTTTAAAGAGCAAGGAACTAAGTTTTTCATAAGTGTTTTCATTAGCTAATGTGAACTAAGACCACTTCAAAGGATGAAACAGCTATATTACATTTCATAAACCTCTCCCCCACTTTTGGGTTACTCACTGAAAAGTTCCTTATATGCTTAAAAATACCTGCCTCACAAACCAGTTCTATTGTTGGGAGAAAAAGTTGTTCAACTATCAATTTATTAGATTTATAAAGTAAAAGACTTTTCTTCATGGATTCAGAAGTTAGACGCTACTAGTAAATAATGGACCCCTTTTTCACAGTGCCTACACTAAACTCACAAGCCAAACATTATGTAGGGGACAAGTGAATGAGGGCTTGTCTACATTACCCAGAGGATCAATGGGCAGCGATCAATCCAGCAGGGGTCGATTTATCGCATCTAGTCTGGATGCGATAAATCAAGCGCTCTCCCATCGACTCCGGTATTCCACCGGAGAGAGAGGTGCAGGCAGAGTCGACAGGGGAGCGTCAGCTGTCGACTCACCGCAGTGAAGTCATAAAGATGAGAGCTATACAAGTACCTAAACAGAAAGTGTTTCAGACTGCAGCTGTACTCATCAATAATGTGCAATTGAGGTTCCTGGAGCCTTCAGGTCCACAGCAAGTCACTCTCCATCTTGATGTGATTAGTTCATTCCATATTCTAGATAATGTCAGCCCTGGGCCACACTGCAGAACGTAGCTAGTTACAGTTTACTCTGCCCCAAAACATAACTGATATTTTAAGAAGTTCTCTCTTTCTAGAGAACCCACAAACAGTAATGATTTAATTAAGGCACAGAAATGTGTACAACTGAGCTAATACTCAAGTAGTTCTAAATAAACTTAGCCCTTTTCTGCATGCAGACAATCCAGAACAAATCATAACCCGAGTTATTAGTAAAGCTGCAAGTCTGTCACAGGGGTCACAGATTCTGTGGATGACATCCACAGCTGCAGCGGCCAGTGCGACTGACCCCAGGGCCGTCTGAGCAGCGGCACCCTACGAACAGCTAAGAATTACTCAGGGGAATTTATAGCAAAAGTCATGGACAAGTCAGGGCCCTGAATTTTTGTTTATTGCCTGTGACCTGTCTTTGAGTTTTACTAAAAACACCCATGACCAAATCTTAGCCTTATTTATTAGACATAATTGTTTAAAACCATACAGATTGATATTTGCAAAACTGTTTGTACTCAGACATATGATTTAAACTGTGCTGATTAGTTGTGATTAACATCAGTAGCACAGCTAGGAACAGAAATTTGACTGGGCCCCAATTTATGGAGATGGGCAATGAGGAGAGAGCTTGGCTGGGCTTCACACGGCAGAAGCAGCAGCCTGTTTCTCTGTTCTGTAGCTGACGCCACTTGGTGCCGATCCCTGATGCCACTGGTTGCACAGCACTCCACCCTCCCCAATCCCTGGGGGGGAAAATGTGTCTTTACATGACCATGCAGGGCAGCTGTGTTCCCCCTACTAGTAGGCCCCCTCCCTCCCTGTTGGGGGAGGCAGTTACTATCCAATCCAGAAAAGTTAAGGAGAAGAGGGAAGAACAGAGGCTTTCCATTTCCTTCTCCATTCCCTGGAACAGGGGAGGGAGGGGATTCCACATGGGCTCAGATTTGTGTAGACTTGAGTGTGGCCTACCCATGGATATGTCCTGATTAACACATTTTCCTCAACAGGCATACTCACATGAGATTTGGAAATTCACTTGTGTGATCATCATTATTGCCAGTACAAGCTCAATCACACAAATGTTTGTGAGATGTGAATACGAACAGGTGGGAGTATACCCAAAGCAAGCTCATTAAAAATTGAGCACATCTGTGATTTTTTTTGCCATATTAACTGAGCTCTAGGAACGAATGAGAAGCAGAAAGCATGGCAAAAGGCCAGGAAGTTAGTTTGTATGTCGATAATATCCAGGATTTTCTTCTACCTACAAGAAGGTAAAAATAAGAAGAGTTATTAAGTTGAATCTATAGGTAAAAAAAGTTCAAGAAAAATTTTGGAACTTCATTCTGCAGCCTTCTGTCCCATTGAACAAAGGTTATGTAGCAGGACTTGTAGACACCCAGTACTGTGATAAGAGACTTTAGGCGTTGTGTATGACTCTTGAGTATTCTGCCTCAGAATAATCCAGCAGCTGGTACAATGATCTATCAAACAATAAGAACCACATCCTAGCATAAATGCATTTGAGTGTTCTCACAATTCTTAACCATTACACCAAACAAGATATCTTTCCATCCTGCACTTAATAAAGAGACAGCACTGTCTCTCAGTGCTCCTTCCAAAGGAGCCTTCCCCCTGGAAATTATGTTTAAGTTAGAGGTACAATTACAGCTGTCCATAATGATCCTTCTTAAAAAGGAAAGTGTGTCAAACTTTTGTATTTCACAACTTTTAGTAGATACTCCTCTGGCTAAGATTACAAGTGGGTAGAATTCCTGCTCACATACCAAAAAGTGCATACAGAAAGGTGAAAGGAAGGAAACTATTGAAGGGAAAGCTTTGTCTCTCAGGGATTGATCAACAGGAATATTCACATTATAGCAATTTCTTTACGCTAGGGACAAACATCCACTTAATAAATCACTTGGGGGAAAGACATCAATAAGGAAAAAAAAAAAAAAAAACCACCCAAGACCACAGTTCATATCTGCTGTCTCTGATGGGGCTGTTCTAAGACTAAGTTTTCTGTATGAGATGGACAAGTATATGACAAACTTAGGGACTTACTAAGGTGTGACATTGTAATATTCTTGTGGAGTCACAGTTTTCAGCCCACCAAAGTAGTCCAGGACCCAGATATTGGTGATGTTGAATTTGGCAAAGAACCAGTTATGATCTGGAGGCCAGCTTGCCATCTCAGGGTGTCGACTGAATAACGATAGCTTTGCAAAGACAGCTTCTGTATCATTCACCTAACAAGTAACCAGCAACATATTACAAAAGATGTAAACTTCATTGGTAAAAGACTAATTTAGAGGCATTTAAAATCAACTGCCAATAAGAATATTCTACTAATATGAGAGTAAAATAAGTTTCCCTCCCAAATTATAGTACCCCACATCCACCCAGACAGGGAGGATTCACCAGATTGAGGTTTGCCCCAGAAAGCTATATACATGTACCAACAGGAGTTCCTCTGTAGCATGGATATATCCACCATTTTAAGTATCACCTCTGGAAATTAACAAGCAGTAACTGTTATAATTAAATATTATCCAAAGAGAGAAATAATATCCATAGAAAAGCATTGCACCCCGAGTGATGTATGACAATTTAAAGTGAGGAGAAAGATAAATCCCATGAAAGTTTGCATTTATTCTAATATTATTTCTTTAAAATATCAACTAATGCCAAAGACTATATCTGTTGAAGAGACCAATCATTTGGTAATAGTGAGTAAAAAGTAAGAGAGAGAGCCATATAGCAGCTTTGCAAGTTTCCTTGTAGGATACACAGTTTCTTTCACCTGAAGAAGAGGAGCGTTCTTGAGTATGTTTACTGGATATCATTGACACTTGTTTACTTACTTGTTTGATCTCTTTTGAAATTAAGAACATTTGATATTCCCATTGCTCTTCTGGCCACAATAAAGTACTACTTCAGCTACAGATTAAGTTCTTTCCCCCATAAGAGAAAAGCTAGTCTCAGACAAAGAATAGTAAGGTAATATCTTTATGAAGAGATAATTTTGCTTGGGTACAAAGATTGGCCCCAGACTGAAATTGCACTGTTTGGAAAAAATCATAGGTAAATCTTTGTGACACTAATTAGACTAGGTAATGGAAGCCAAAAGCTTGACTACATTGTGGGACACTGCGCTTTACAGAGGTGCGGTTTCTAAAGCACACTAACGTATTGCACGTTAATTGGTCCAGGTAGACCCTATTCATGTGCACTACACTAAAGCACACCCGCAATGTTTACATGGAGCAATTATTGTACATCACATTAGTGCGCTTTAGAAATGACACCTCTATAGAGCACATTTTACAAGAGCTGAAAAAGGTGACTGTCTCAATGATGCAGTACCTGGTTTAATTCTACTTCTCAACTGGATAACTTAATATTGATACAGAAACAACTTTTAGGAAACAAAGGGTAGGGAGCAGGGATGGTAGCTTCATTATTAGGATAAACAAGCAAGTTTCAGCAAAAATGAGAAAGTTATATTAGTTCCTTTAAAACTAAGACTCTGGCAAAAGATGTCATATCCCTAGGGGTCTGGAGAGAGAGTAACCAGCAACACTAGCTATTCATTTATGCAAACTGCAGCCTGACGGTACTGTCTTTTGTAAATAGTTCTGTAGTGGTTCAATAACGTACTGTGTATTAAATACAAGTTTATCATGCATATTTTTGGGGGCCATCTCCCTTATTCTTGTTTCACGCTGGATGCTGCTTCCTGCGGCTCCCATTGGCCAGGAACGGCGAACCGCAGCCACTGGGAGCTGCTGGCAGCAGTGCCTGCGGACGGTTAATGTAAACAAACTGTCTCACGGCCCGCCAACGGATTACCCTGACAGGCTGCAGGTTGCCCACCACTGTAGTTGATCCTTTCTACATGGCTGATGCAATATTCCAAGTGCAGTTGTATCTTCTGGGCACCTAATTACCAAAAACACATTAAACTGGAGGGAGCTCAAATGAGTAATAAAAATTATGCAGGACTGAAGAACAGATTTACAAAGTAAGATTGAGAGCTAAATGTGGGAACAGTGAATTAAGGGGCTGGAAAAATATAATGTACTCATATCTGAAGGGCATAAACACCAAGTAAGGAATTATTTACGGTATTGCTAAGAGGGAATAATTATCAGTAATGAGATGATACTAAAGGGAAAAATTCAGGCTGAATGACAAAGTGTGTCTAGTGTCCCACAGAAGGCTGATAAAACTAACTTAGATTGAAAAAAGCACTAGTAAATGGCAGGAAACAATACAGTACTGCACTGGCAGGAAGATCAACAGATGATGCAATATTTTTTCCATCTTTGAACTCCTACAATTTTATGCCTCATACTAGCTGTTAACGAAGTAAAGTGGTAGAAGCCTAATCATTCAGGTCACTTAAAACCGGACTGAGCACTTACCATAGTATTAAGTTATTTTGTACTGACTGAACCTTGGCTTAGATTTGTTAGTTCTTAAAAAAAGAACCACAGAAATTAGAGACTTCCCTCACTGTAGTAGCTCTGCCAAGAACACCTCTATAGAATTCTCTCTAGAGACTCTCAGTGATACTTTGAGTATTGGTCAGAAGTTGTGACTTAATCTACTAATGGAAACTACGAGCTAAATTGCTATATCGTCAAAGGGCTTAGCCTGAATCATTCGATTAGTTTGAATCTTTTCTGTCAAGTATGTAATGTTACACTTCTGTACAGATTTCTATTCTCTGTTCACTAAAGAGTACTGCTTTGTACACAATACTGTCCTGTTCAGTGCAGACTTTCAGTTGTTTACCTTATCAACAGTCCCAGAGAAGATAACGTGGGCACACAGGGGATTCTGGGGATCATACCCTTTCTTCTTGCAGTAAGGAGTCTGTGCCAAAGACACTGTTAGGGAGGCATTTGCATCCACCTGAAATACAAGCAGTAAGGTAATTGGCAAAGCTGTCCCAAAACAATGCATTACATAACTAAGTTTGTTAAAATAAACTGATTGCAGGGTTGTCAATTTCCCAGGAAATGCCAGGTGCTGGTGAATACCAGCCTAAACCCGGTTTAAAATAATTGCATTAGTGTCCACCAAGTTCAGAATGCATCTTTTCAAACTATGGATATATCCATTCAAAACTGAGGAATAGGCTCAGTCTATCCATCAAAGCTGGTCTTCTGCTACAGGGTGGGGGTGGGCAGCCCTGAGTCCTCCGGCCCAGAGCCACCTGCACCAAACAGGAGCTGCCCCAGGTAAGTGCTCTGCACCTCCTGCCTGCCCCAGCCCTGAGCTTCCTCCCGCACCCCCACCCTGAGCGCCCTCCCACACCCTAACTCCCTCTCAGAGCCCACACCCCACCCTGAGCACCCACTGTATCACAAAGTGTTCAATCAAGATTTTAAAAAATAATAAAACATATTCAATCACATTGCTCTCACTACAAATATTATTATTAATAATAACTTTTTTTTAGTGAGCAAAAAGGTTTTTTGTACCGTTAAATAAAATAAAATTTTTTGAAAATATTGTTTATTTCATCTTTATCTCATCGTCTTTTAATTTCTATTTTTGTGTATGTTTTATAATTTACATAATATATTAGTACAGTAGTACATGTATATAATTTATACATAAATATACATATATTGGGGGTGCATGCTCAGAAGTTTTTTACTGGTAGGGGTGCGCAATCAAAAAAGTTTGGAGACCACTGCCCTAGATAGATGGCCTCTGAATAGGTCTGAAAGACCACACAGTTTAGAACAGGGTCTCAAACACGCGGCCCAAATGGGGCCCGCAGGGTTCTTTCATGTGGCCCACCAAGCTCCCGCGCGCCCCTCTGCCTACCCCGGGGCACCACGAGCCCCGCACCGCTCCCTGAAGCGGCCGGAACCATGCCCCTGCGGCCCTGGGGAGGAAGGAAGAGGGCTGCATGCGTAACTCTTGCTTCCAGGCACCTCCCATTGGCCGGGAATGGGGAACCGCGGCCAATGGGAGCTTCAGGGGAGGTACCTGGAGGAGCAGCAAGAGCAGCACACAGAGCCATGTGCCCCCTCCCCCACCCCCAGGGACATGGTTCTGGCTGCTTCCTGGAGCGGAGCGGAGCAGAGCAGAGCAGCGTGGGGCAAGGACAGGCGGACAGCAAGCCTGCCCTGGACCCGGTGCACGGAGTTGCTCCAGGTAAGCGGCGCCAGGCCAGACCCCACACCCCTTCTGCACCCCAACTCCCTGCCCTGAGCCCCCTGCCGCACCCTGATCCCCTGCTGCACCCCAACCCCCTACCCGGAGCCCCCTGCCACACTCTGATCCCCTGCTGCACCCCAACCCCCTACCCGGAGCCCCCTGCCGCACCCTGATCCCCTGCTGCACCCTACACCCCTGCCCGGAGCCCCCTGCTGTACCCTGCACGCCTCCTGCACCTCAACTCCCTGCCCTGAGCCCCCGCCACACCCCCTGCTCCCTCTGGGGGCAGGGAGAGGGCGGAATTGGGGTGGGGACTTCGGGGAAGGGGTTAGAATGGGGGCAAGGGTGGGGCCTAATGGAAGGGGGTGGAGTGGAGGAGGGGCCAGGAGCAGCAAGCGTGGGGTGTCAGTGATGCAGCCATTGGGCCAATGCACTAGTCCTCATGTGGCCCTCGTGGTCATTTGAGTTTGAGACCCCTGGTTTAGAAGGTTCTAACAGGAAAATCTGTCTAACAATTGGAGGCCTCAAAAAATGGGCCTTATTAACACCTGAATTTAATGTATGATCTATATATTCTCAACTCCATCAACGTTTGAAGCTAGTTTTAAAAATCCAGTTTAAGTTAGGAGTGTAAAAATCTATTTGAAAGCAACTTCAACTGTTTAAAATAAAAAGCACTCAACTCCATTCTGGAAGCACAAACATATCTGAAAGACTTACTACCTAGTTTAAAAAACAAAAATCCCTTTTCGTCTAAAAATAAGCATGACAAGTGTCTGTCCAAGAATAAGTTAGAAAGGCCCAAAAGCTGATATGATGAGAATGCCTTAACTATAACTTGTCACATTTAAAAAGAAAAGGAGTACTTCTGGCACCTTAGAGACTAACAAATTTATTTGAGCATAAGTGAGCTGTAGCTCACGAAAGCTTATGCTCAAATAAATGTGTTAGTCTCTAAGGTGCCACAAGTACTCCTTTTCTTTTTGCGAATACAGACTAACACGGCTGCTACTCTGAAACTTGTCACACTTAGTAGTTGTCAACACATGCATAAAGATTTTTTAAATTTTACAAAAATTAATTTGTTGAAAACATCAAGAAATTTACATAGAAGCTTTTGTAATAAGAATCCAGACTCAGAAAATCAGTTTCTTCCAAAGCCAGATATGGAGGCGGTAAAAGTCAGTGTGCATTTAAGGTACAGGTTAGGGGTCCTGACCACATTACCTACATAGATACAAATTCCTGGTATAGATATGTTGCATCTGAAACCAAGACACATTGCAATAATGCAAGCCCTGCTTTAAAATGGAGCAGTGCATCTATATCAGTGCAAAGGCCTCCTAGCGTAGTCAGGCCCTAAGTGTTTGTCAGGAAACAAACAATTCAACCAATGTTATCCCTCCAAAGTGGGGCCAGAGGGGGAATACAGTACTTCAAAGAACTGCATTCCCATCATGGAGTGAACAGTCACATGAACTTCTTCATTTTCAGTATTTAAAAGACTATAACACCCTCCCCCCCAGTGTTGTAGTCAAATCACATGCGTAGCCCCTTACACCCATGCAAAGCCCTACTGGTCAATGGGGTTCCACACAGGGACAAGAGTCCGTCAATGCAGATCCAATGGTGGAGGACTCATGTTTGTTTACAAGTCTGTTTAACCAATAACAGAAGATAAACCTCATTCCTCTCAGTTTGGTTTCAGTTTACCAGGTTAGCAGTAATGGACTTCAAAAAAGGGCAAAATTTAAATAAGTTCTGGTCCTCTAACTGATAAAGTAGAAATTATTAAGGCTTCTATCTCCTGAGGACAAGTTTCATATCTAAATTAGGTCCCAAATGAATTTAGTTTTGTAACTGCAAAGATCTGTAGAGCTTTTAGCTAGGCAGAGAAGGAAGGATATTTGCACAAACTTTATGTAGGTCTGCATAAGTTTCCAACTTTCTTGTGCATTTCTTTGATTTCAGAATCTGAAGTCTCCTTTCAAAACACTAGATTATTTATATAATTTGACATTATATTTCACACCTTCCCCCCAAACACAACTAAGAGTTCAATCTGCATCTGGGAAATTCCATTAGAATAGCTTATTTCAGCAAAAAAATTTAAGCGACCTAAGCATTATACAAGTTCCCACCGCATTTATGGAACTACAGCCACCACGAGACTATGACTGTGCAAATGCTCAAGTTGATCAACTCCAAAAAAAGCTGAATCATAGTTATTTGGTGTTATCTGCTGGCACAGGTCTCTATGAGATGGTGAACCAAACAGTTGACCTCTGTGCTGCAACAGCAGAATATAGATAAGAGAATACATCATCTGTGGGGGAGCTTTCTGATTGGAAAGAGCCTACTGAAACAGTAAAATCTATAACAGTGTCAAAACTGTTAGGCAGGGGTCCTAAAATGCAGTGTTTGATCAAACCTCCATATTTCTTAAAACAAATAGTTTCATACATGAAATATTACAGATAGAAATTAAAAGGGAAAAATGGTAACTACAAAGCATTCAGACCAACCAGGTGAGGACTACAGACAGATAATTCAAGAGGCAAATTGGCATTAGTTATATAGGCAAAGGCTAAAACAAAACTTCATGAGTGTTTTGCCCATGTTTTAGTTTTCTTTACAAGGAAAACAGGAGTGAAGAGAGGGGGAAATCATGTACTGGATTCTCCTCCAAATCCGTGTTTTTTAGACTGCACTCTTCAGCAGTGACTTGAGTGTGTGCAGACATGTAAAAATAAGTAGCACCATCCTGGGTATTACATAGTTTAATGATTTCTTTAAACAACACCATCACTATTGGTTCCTCATTCCTGGATCTCATGCCCCCACTGGGAATCATGACACACTTCTACTACTTTTAAAATTCTTTACAGAAACCAGTAGCAGTGACTAGTGCACAAAATCTCTCCCATCCCCTCCACTACTGCATTGTATATACCAGGGCTTTGGAGTGGAGCCTGGAGCTGGAGTGCGGAGCAGCTCCGGAGCAGTGGAGCTGCAGGTTTTTGCCTGGAGCTGAAGTGGAGGCAGAGCACAGCTCCAAAGCCCTGGTACATACAACCAACTGCTGCTATCGCCTTAAGCACACTAAATCAGTCTAGTTAGTTTATTCTTCACCAAGCCAAGAAAAGAAGTTTGGCAGGAACTGGTTAGGGACTTTCAGTGGTTGCAGCTTTGACTTTGTCTCAGTCTGCTCTCATATGCCTTTTGTTTCAGCTATAAATGAATTTAGTAAGTATTTGGGTCTGAGCATCTCTGAAGCTCTTCAGGCACATCTACAGTGCAAAAGACTCTGAATCAGCAAATCTCAGAGCCGATGCCAACTCACTTAGACTCATGGAACAGGGCTAAAAATAGCAGTGTATATGTTCCCGTTCGGGCTCTCAAACCCAGTCAGAGCCCAGGCTCCAGACCAGTGGTGGGCAACCTGCACCCCGCATGAGGCCCATCAGTCTGCCCGCTGCTTCCCACAGCTCCCATCAGCCAGGAACGGTGAACTGCGGCCACTGGGAGCTGCGGGGGGCCGTGCCTGGGGACGGTCAACATCAGCAAAATGTCTCACGGCCCGCCTTCAGCTTACCCTGATGTGCCGCATGTTGCCCACCACTGCTCCAGACCAAGTGGGAACATTCACACTGATATTTTTAGCTTCATAGTGCAAGGCCCATGAGCCCAATTCAGTCAATCCGGGCTCCGAGACTAGCTGCCTGTTTTTTTTTTGTTGTTTTTGTTTTCCTGAAGTATAGACACACCGTTGGTTGCTTTAGCCCAACAGTGCCACTTTTTCAGCTCCCAAGTCCCGTGTGGCTCATTTGGTGCCCACCCTCCCCTTTTTGATCTTTTTGGAGTTCTCTGCTTTACTCAGTGCCCCCTCTTGGAGCTTCAGTAGTTTCATCTATGGTGCATTTTTGTCATAGATGACCATGACATGTTTGAGGAGAGTTGCCTAGAGATTACTTTTCTAGCTGCTTGTAACACTCCAGTCCTCTTCTATACATTTAGCAGCTTCGCTATCTTCACTTTATACTTCTGATGTCTCCAGATGCTGTATTCCATAATGGCTATTTTAATCAGCACTCAAGTCATAGCAGTCGCAGAGCAAACCATGTTCCAACTCCTGAAGAAAATATCACATACTACAAATATATTAGCAACAAGTAGGTTAGGAAGTTAGGCTGTTTTTTCAAATGTCTGAGCTAATTCATACACCATTATCCCTACTTTTATTTCAAATTTGCACACACTAATATCTGCAGCTTTTGCAAGGATGCTAAGGAAAGGATAATTGCAATAAAGGAGTGATGCATCTCGCCATTTCCACATACCATACCACATACCATTTCCACATACCATACCACATACCATACCATAAGATGATTATTAACTTGCTTATTATCACCAATTATGAAACTTGTTGGGCAAGGATGTTTACTAGTAACATCCAAATTAAGACTGATCTCAATATAAACTTCCTTTACTCTTCAAAAGGAATTGGCGATCTTGGGATGCTTGAGACCCGTTCAGTGTGAGCTCTCACGCGTACCACAACGGGCACGCGTGCGATGTGTGTGCACGGGATATCGCAGCAGGGGTATGACACCACTCACAAATAGGGGAGGAAGGGCATGCTCATCAGGAGCTCTCCTGTGGCCTGAAATAGCAGACCCAGTCCCCTCTGCTGCTCGATCAAGCCGTGTCCCCTCTGAGGGGCACAGACGAGACACACCGGCCTCGATGAGCTCGGCCACGGCACATGCGGCCGGGACACGCGAGTGCAGCATTTCACCAGCACCAGACACTGACGCACTGAGGGGCACCGGGCCGGGGGCAGATGGCCCCGGGGTTGGGGCCGGGGAGGGGCGGCTCCAGGGACACGCACGCGAACCCCACGGCACGGACTCGGGTCAGCGATCGCCCGCCGCGCCCAGCCCCAGCCCTGCGGGCCCCGCCCCCGCCGGGGCGAGCAGGGCCCCGCGCCGCGCTCACCTGCAGGTCCTGCACGGACACCTCGAGCGCGGTGAGGTAGAGGTAGGGGACGCCGCTGCCGCGGGGCCCGGGCGGCCCGTCGCTCAGCGAGAAGACGTTGGCGAAGGGGCGGCCCCGCAGCGGCTCGCGCGCGGAGAGCGTGGCCAGCGCGCCCCAGTCGCACTGGTGAGCCACGTAGCGGGCCACGCGCGCCGCATCCTCATGCGGCGGGATCCCGGCCCCCGCGCCGACCACCAGCGCCCAGAGGAGGAGGAGGAGGAGTAGCCGCCGCCTCATAGCTAAGAGCGTAACTAACCCTGCTCGCAGCGGGCGGCCAGACGGTTTCCTCCTGAAGGGGCGGGGCCACGCCACGCTCAGCCAATGGGCACCCGCCACCCGGCTGTCTCCACCAATGAGGGCGCGTTGGAGGCGGAACGGTATGTTAGTGGGGCGTGGTCATTCTGCTTTCAGCCAATGGGCGCACACCGCCCTCTCATGTCCGCCAATGAGCTCTGCCAGAGGGCGGGGCGAATGGGCACGAAGTCCATCGCTGGTAAACATAACCGATTCTCGCACCGGCTCTGTGCGGCGGAAGGAGTCGCTCCTATGTCAGCCAATGAATAAAGCCCCTTCGGAATCTCCTCCAATAACGACTCGCACTGGGAGGGCGGAGGCGGGGTTAAAGCGGCTTGGGAGGGAGGGAGGGAGTGAGTGGCACTCACACGCTGCTACGGGTTAGGTGAAACATAAACAAACTGGTCACGTGGGAGAAGGGGCGGGAGGGGCGCCTGACTCCCCAGGCCGCGGCAGGCGTGAGGTGCTGCGGGTCGCTCTCCCCTCGCCTCGCAGCCCCCGGGCCCAGGCTACGGGGGCCGTTTGGGGCCCGGGGCTCTGGGGGGAGCGCCCCAGGTTTGTCCCAAGCACCCTGCCCCCTCGAGGATTTTTTGCACGGCTATTGCCAGGGTGGCGTAAGAGCAGGGGGTAGGGCTGCCTCCTGGTTTTGCAAGAGCTGCTCCCTGGACACCATGGATTTGTAGAGCGGCACTGTGCTAGGCTCTGTCCCATTGTCTGTTCCTTTCCTCGTGGCTCCTAAGCCCCTCTTAGCTTTTTTGGTGGCTGCTGTGCACTAAGCAGATGTTTTCAGAGAACTAGCCACAGTGACTCCAAGCTCTCCTTCTTGAGGGGTAACAGCTAATTTAGATGATGGAGCCCATCATGCTGCATGTATCGTTGGGATTATGTTTTCCAATGTGCATTACTTTGCGTTTATCAACATTAAATTTAATCTGTCATTTTGTTGCCCAGTAACTCAGTTTGGGGAGAGCCCTTTGTAACTCATAGTTAAATCCAAAACTGACTGCCATCTTGAATACTTTTGTATCAACTGCAAAGTTTGAAATCTCACTCTTTACCCCCTTTTTAGATCATTTATGAATATGTTGAACAGCACTCATCCCAGTACAGACCCTTTGCTATTTACCTCTCTCCACTGTGAAAACTGACCATTTATTCCTCTTCTTTCTTTCCTATCTTTTAACCAATTAGTGATCAGTGAGAGAGCCTTTCCTCTTATCCCATGACAGCCTATTTTGCTGAAGAGCCTTTGGTGAGGGACCTTGTCAACTGCTTTCTGAAAGTCCACACTCTATACACTTGTCCACATGTTTGTTGACCCACTCAAAGAATTCTAACAGATTGGTGAGGTATAATTTCCCTTTAGAAAAGCCATATTGACTCTTCCCCAACATATCATGTTCATTTATGTGTCTGATAATTCTGTTCTTTATTATAGTTTCAACCAATTTATGTGGTAGTGAATTTAGGCTTACTGGCCTCTAATTGCGCATCACCTCTGGACCCTTTTTAAAAAATCACCAATACGTATCAGGAATGCTAAGTCTTGTTTTCCCTGACTTTTGCTGAAAGACTGGAGAGAAGTCTACCTTCCTACTCTAGTTATATCTATATTGCAGTCAAAAGGTGATTGCAGCTTGATTAGACATACCAAAGCTAGCATTAATCTAGCTAGTGGAGCTGCAGCAGTGCATGCTTCAGCATGTGCTAGCCGCCTGGGTGATTATCCAGGTTTCTTGGCTTCACTGCTTTGGGACCTGAGCTAGCTAGATTAAAGCTAGCTGAGGTTTGTCTAGCTGAGCTGCACTCACACCTTGTAATTGCAGTACAAAAATACCATTGGAACAGATAGGCAGAGTAATCTGAGTACAGAGCAGTGTTCTAAGCAGCATTTCCTTCAAAACTTCCTTCCTCTCACTTCTCTGTTCAAGTCCCAGTTGGCATTTAATACATCAATTAATAATACAAACCCCAGCTATATAAAAGACTGAATTTGCTCTGTGAACTACTGTGACAGCTGCACTCTTTTACAACAATGCAGATCACAAAACCTTGAATGAAGCAGGTGAGAGCTGGGAACAGAGCATTCTCAGTCGACGGGATCTGGCTACAGAGAAAACTTCTAGAGAAGATCAAGTGAATCCAGAATCGGACCATTTTTAGGAAACATTGCATAACCTGCTTTGAGAAAGCCTTTCCACCATAAATGATGCTCACAACAGGAGACAATGTTAGTGAGCAGGGGAGAGAGTGACTGGGACAGGAAAAAAATGATAGGGAGTAATGGAGACCAGTGGAACAAAGAAAGAACACCACAGGGGGAAAAGAGAGAGGAGGGGAAAGAGAGGAATGGAAGTGAAAGAAGGAAAGAGGGAGTTAGCAATTAAATACAGTAACTCCTCGCTTACCGTTGTAGTTATGTTCCTGGAAAATGCTACTTTAAATGAAATGATGTTAAGCGAATCCAATTTCCCCATAAGAATTAAGGTAAATAGGGGGGGTTAGGTTCCACGGAAATTTATTTCGCCAGACAAAAGACTATATATATATATATACAGAATAAGTTTTAAACAATTTAATACTGTACACAGCAATGATGATTGTTAAGCTTGGTTGAGGTGGTGAAGTCAGAGGCTGGAAGACGGTGGGATATTTCCCAGGGAATGCCTTACTGCTAAATGATGAACTAGCACTCGGCTGAGCCCTCAAGGGTTAACACTTGTTAATGTAGCCTCTCACTCTACAAGGCAGCACGAATGGAGGGAGGGGAGAAAGCATGGCAGAGAGAGACAGAGACACACCTTGTGTGAGAGACAGAGAGAGAGAGAGATGTGCATTGCCCCTTTAAGTACGCTGACCATACTCTAAGTACACTGCCTTTTTAAGTAGATCAGCTAGTTGAGACAGCAGCTGCTGCCAGCAAGCTCCCTCCGTCCTGAGCCCTGTCATGTTCCCCCCTGCTCTGTGCAGATAGCCTAATGGGGTAAAGGAGTGGGGGATGGGGGACACCTGACATTAACACCCCTCTTCCCCCCCACCCCTGCACAGCAAGGAGGAGGCTCCTGGGAGCAGCTCCAAGACAGAGGGCGGGAGCAGCACATGGCAGTGGGGGGAGGGACAGCTGAACTGCCCGGCAACTGATAGCCTGCTGGGTGGCTGCTGCACAGGGAACTTAGGGGAGCAGGGAGCCGATAGGGAGACTGCTGGTCCATCCTGGTTCCAAGCCCCCCCCACTAGCTCCAACTGGCTGCTCTTTCTGCAAGCAGTGGACAAAGCAGGTGGCTACCAAACGATGTTATAAGGGAGCATTGCACAACTTCAAATGAGATATTCCCTAATTGATCGGCAATGTAACAACGAAACAATGTTAACAGGGATGACTTTAAGTGAGGAGTTACTGTATTATAGAAAAATTAGATTGAGGGAAACCAGACAGCTGAAGAAGACAGAAGAAAAAAAACTAAAATACAGTAGATGGAACAAATGGGGCAAAGGAAGGGAAAAGGTGAACAATGGAGATACAAGGAGGAGAACAAGGAGACCTACTATGTTTTATTACTTCAATTATTAGACCAAAAGTGTATTGTCAAAAAGTGACAATTGCCAACTTCCCATTAATCATGGTGTTTGGTTACAAAAGTGCTCAGCCACTCTGGCAATAAGTGCCATTGAAAACCGTCTACAGCAGTATTTTTAAAAGAACCTTTCACTACTATCCCAGGAGTAGAAATGTGTAAAGTATATTATGTATTTCACACACACTTCTAGGGATTTTTTTGTGCCCAGCCATCTTACCCTGTTGGATTCTATTGCTCTCACAAGCTACCGATGCCGTTATAAATCCTGAAACTGGTGCAATAAAAATCTGCAGCTATTGTTAATTATATCATTCTTTACAAAGGGGGAATAAATGGAAAAGGCGGAGTTGGAGCATCCTCCTGACATGACAATTTCAACAAATGTCTACAGCAGGAGTGGGCAAACTTTTTGGCCCGAAGGCCACGTCGGTGTTGTGAAACTGTATGGAGGGCTGGGTAGGGAAGGCTGTGCCTCCCCAGACTGGCCCCTGCCCCCTATCCACCCTCTCTCACTTCCCGGCCCCTGACTGCCCCTGTCAGAGCCCCTGACCCATCCAATCCCCGCTGCTCCTTGTCCCCTGACTGCCCCCTCCTGGGACCCCCGCCCCTAACCGCCCCCTGGGACAGCACCCCCTATCCAACTCCCCCTGCTCCCTGTCCCCTGACAGTCCTGACCCCTATCCACACCCCCATCCCTAACTTCCCCCAGGACCACACTCCCTATCCAACTCCCCCCCCACTCCTTGTCCCCTGACCCCTATCCACACCCCCACACCCTTATAGCCCCCCTCCCAGGACTCCCACACCTATCCAACGCCCCCTATTCCCTGTCCCCTGACTGCCCCCCCCCCCGAACCTCCGCCCCATCCAACCGCCCCCTGCTCCCTGGCCCCTGACTGGTCCCCGGGACCCCCTGCCCCTTATCCAACCTTCCCCACCCACCCCCTTACCATGCAGCTCAGAACAGCAGGAGCTCGCCGCCCGGCCGGAGTCAACCACACCGCCCACGCTGCCCAGCAGGAGCAGCGGGCCATAGTGCTGGCGGCGTGGCACACTGAGGCTGAGGGGGAGGAGGGACAGCGGGGGAGGGGCCATGGGCGAGCCTCGTTGGCCAGGAGCTCAGGGGTCGGGCAGGATGGTCCCGTGGGCCATAGTTTGCCCAACTCTGGTCTAGAGGTTTCTTTGAATGTTTATCTTACTTTAAACTTGAAATGTTCATTCTGCTTCCCCCCATTAGTCACAAGAGGGTGCTATTCTTTCAGCTTTGGTAGTTTGAATTGCAGAAGTTAATTAAATGGATTGAGCCTGTAGAATGGTTCCCTGGATGTACTAGATGAATGAGAGACTGCTGGATACAGTATACCAATTGAACAGAGTGTAC